GGAGACTGGGATGGAGATAAGGGAGGGAGGCGAAAGGCATGACTCCCAGATTCTGGGCTTGAGCAACAGGGTAGATGACTATGCCATTCACTGAGATGGGAACACAGGGAGAGGAACAGGTTTAGGGGTGAAATGTGATTTGGGGCTTGCAGAGTTTGAGGTGCTCACAGGAAAGTCAGATGGAAGCGCTGGGAGGGCAGTTGGATTGCTCTTCTTCAGGGAGAATGGAGAGTGAACTTTAAGTATGTGAAGGAAAGGAACTGGGTATCTAAGCTCAGAAGAGAGGTCAGGACTGCTCCCTCTCTTCTTTCTCAAGGGAACACATCTGGAGACACCAACTCATCCAGGAGGTGGGGACAGCTGGGGAGGAGGAGGCAACACACAGGAGACAATGACATCCCTGATGGGTTGACCTTGGAGGAGCTGTGGTGCACATAATTCCTCCCTGGACCAGCACTGACACCCAAGACTTCCCCCCACAGTGCTGCCCCCAGATGTGGACAACCCAGGGTTGAGGTCGGATGGTGTGCCTGCTCTCACCTGTCCCAGCACAAAGAGTGCCCATGGCTCCGCTCATGCAGCGCTCTGGAGGACCAGGTACGTGACAAGCACCCCTGAGGGCTGACTCAGCTGCCCAAACCTGACTCCCAGCCCGCCCGAGGGCCAGCTCACCTGGGTACCCTCGCAGGTAGCGCGCAGATGACGGCACCGGAAGCGGGGCTCGGGGGCGACCGGGGAGCGGGGGTCCGCATCCCTCGTCCCCAGGCCCAGCCCCGCCGGGGGCCGCAACACGCGAGCAGCGGGCACGTGGGGGTGTGAGACGCACTGGGCTGCACACCCCGCCCCGGCCTTCCGGCCGTTAGCCCGCGCCCAGCAGCCCGCGCACTGCGGTCTCCAGCTGTACCCCCACAGCTGTCCCTCCCGTCGGCTGCCGGCAGCCGCCCCTCTCTCCCACGCGCGCCTCCCGCCGAGTCCCCGTCCCCGCCCCGTACCTGCGGTGGCTCTTCCCGGAGGCCGCCCCCTTCCTGGCGGTCAGAAACGCCATGGACGCTGGCCGGACTCGGACAGGGGCGCGGGCGGCCCCTCGTGGCGGCGTGGGCTGTAGCGGCGGCTTCAGCGGCAGCGCCTGGACCCGGCGGGCGGGGCGGACCCGGCGCGGCGGCTCCTCCCCGCCGCGGCCGGGCGCCTCCCTGCCTGCCAGGGACGTCGGTGTCCCCGGAGTGGACCTGGGGTCCCAGGGCAAGCCCATTCCCGTCCAGAGCCGTCGAGACCCATCACTAGTCACGAGGAGAAGCTGAGCCCCAGGACGCCCAGGGATTTGTCTCAAGACCACATGGAAGGCCAGTGGCAGCACCAAGACCTGCCCCGGGCCTCTCCAGTCCTGGTCTGGTCCAGTGAGCCGAGGGGCGATGGTGTCAGCAACGCCTTTCTCTTCTGCTTAAGTACATAACCCTGCCTTGCCAGGGCCGCACATGGATGGAGTCCGGGACTTGGACCTGCAGGAGCGGCTGGGGGGCAGGTAGGGGAGCAGCGAGGTAGGCAGGAGCTGTCTGGCCTGGGAGTAGAGGCTGCTGACAGGCAAGGCTCTGGGACAGGAGGCTTCCATAGGAGGCTCAACTAAGGACTAGGAGCAGGGAGCGCCTTGAGGAGGATCACTCCAGGTCCAGTGTGAAGGATGGATTTAGGGGTCCCTGGAGACTTTTCTCAGTGAAGGGATGGGGGTTGAAAACGGGGCCGGGGCAGGGTGACTAAGGGGACCATTTCTGTCTCCTTTTGGGCTGGGTCTGTATTGTAGGCACTTGGGCAACACAAATCATGTGTCAACTAAATGGTGACTGATTCTGACAAGTCTGAGCCATACTCTATAATGTGCCAAGCCCTAAGCCAGGTGTTTGAAGCAAATCCTCATTTAATTTCATCCTATTAAATATTTACTCCCATTTTACAGTTGATGAAACTGGGGCTCCGAGGGGAAAACTGACTTCTCTTGAGACTAAGCTGTGGAGCTAGGTCTTACACCCAGGTCTGTCTGCCCCATCTGATGCTTTCCCCTAATCCAGCCTGAGGTCTGCAGGTGGGCTGGGCATGGAGTGGGAGGCCTGGGCAAAGCAGGGGGCAGAAGCCTCAAGGATTACCTGGGCAGTTTCTCTCAATTTTCCTTGGTAGGCAGCAGAGAAAATACGACCTTTCCCCCTTTCTCTGAGAACTCATGTCATGGTCTTGGCAGATCAACCAGGGCCCGAAAATGATGCCTATCTGACCACAATGCTAGAGTCTCCAGATCTGGAAATTCCAGTTACATGCACCTAGGGGCCCAAATCCCTCAGCCTGCAGAGCCTTACCCAGCTTGGCAGCATTGGCATTACAGATAGCCAACTTCCTCCTGGGCTCACAGGCATGAATATCACAGGGCCTCAGAAGCCTGGCCTCCTATAGGCCCAGAGCCCAGTCAAATCCCATTTGGAATTAAAGTCCCACCCAGCCTCTGAGCCCACAGCTAATACTTCCTCCAAGAAGCCCTCCTGGATCTCCCCAGTGGAGGAATCTCTCCTTTTTGGAGATTACATTTCTGTCTTCTTCACAGCGTTTAGCACTACATACTTTTTAATCCTTAGTTATCAATGACCAGTCTCATCTTCAGAGTTCTATCTGAAAATACAGAGAATGTCTCACATCTGTGTCTTCCGTGGAGCCTGGCACCACTGCTACACTAGCAGGTGCCCAGAGCAGAGTACATGAAGGAGGAACTCATATTTTTAAAGTTTCCACTTCGCGGCAGGCACTTTACATACTTACCTTTACATACACTCTAACTGGAACAACAACTCTTGTGAGAATATTTGAGTCTGAAGTGAAGAAATGTTCCTAAGATAAAGTCAGGAGCTGGGATTCAATCCCAGGTTTCTTAAACTTCAAGGTTTGTTTCCTGTTCTTCCTGTTCACTTTTTCCTTCATCTTCATCCTCATCACCATCGTTTGTCTAGAGCTATGTTAGGCATTATTCTAAACTTTTCAGATAATACCAGCTCATTTCATCCTCAGAACAATCTTATTAGGTATTTCCTTTTACAATTCCAATTTTTATAGTTGAGAAAATGAGGCAGAGGATTAAGTAATTTACTCAAGCTCACAAAGGCCAATTAAGTGGCAGAGTGAAGACTTAACCCAAGCAGTCACCCTCGAGTCTGTATCTTAACCCCAGCCCCAGTCTGCCTGCCAGACAAGCTCTTAGAATGCACACGGCATTTACGAATCATTTTCCCAAAGCTTATCTTATTTTGAATCTCATAACAACCCCAAGGTAGAGCGGGTTTTATTCTTTCCCTTGCTCTGAAGCCAGACTCCTGAGTTAGAATCTGGGCTTCACCACCTGATAGCTGTATGTGACTTCAGGCAAGTTACTTAACCTCTCTCTGCTTCAATGTTCTCATCTGAAACAGGAATTATGTAAAATGGGGAAAAGAAAAGCACCCACCACAAGGGTTGTTGTGAGGGCTAGATGAGTGAATTCAAACAAAACACAATAGTGCTGAATATGTGTGTGTCATGTGCACCTCCTATGTGAGTTTTATTCAGAATCAGTGAGGAATGAAGTGTTCTGTATCAAACTTTTTTTTTAGATAGTTTTTTTTTTTTAAGATTTATTTATTTGACACAGAGAGACATAGCGCGAGAGAGAACACAAGCAGGGAGAGGGGGAGAGGGAGAAGCAGGCTTCCCGAGGAGCAGGGAGCCTGACGTGGGGCTCGATCCCAGGATCCTGGGATCGTGACCTGAGCTGAAGGCAGACACTTAACGACTGAGCCACCCAGGCGCCCCATGTTCTGTATCAAACTTTTAAGATGACTGACGTATGTATATTCTCTTTAACCATGGTTACACACTTTCCTAAAATGTAGTATTACCTTTTCTGTCTTCTCAAACACAGACATGACAGCCCTGACTTAGTGAATATCTGCCATGTCACAGGAATGAAGACTTTATACCCATCATCTTTAATCCTCACAACAACCCTGTGAAGTAACTGTTATCTGAGCGGTTAAGAGCCGTACCCACAGTCATAATACTCTGAGATCTGGGTTCTTTCTACAAGGCTAGGAACCTTCTCAGGAAGCTGAGATGAATCAGCATTTTCTTTGAGAACATCAGTTCTTGCTTAGAGCCCAGGTTTACTGTGTTTGATCTCTGTTGCCACTTAGGCCCAAAGGGCTGCCTTTAAGACCAGACATACAAGAGGCAGGCTGGTAGTGGAAGAGCAGGTCTCAGAGCTGAGGCACTTGGGCTGGAACCTGGCTTGGTCTCTACTAGGTGGGGGTCAGGTGGCGGGGGTGTCTTTGCTAAGTCATTTCCATCTCCAGTAAAATGGAATCACAAATGACGCTAAAACATTCATCCTCCACAAGTGAGCATGGAGAGAAAGAGCGATATATATATTTATATAATATATACATACTTTAATATTATATTGGTCCACTGAGTATACATATTTTAACAAAAGATAAGAATCTGTGTAATCCAGTTAAACATACATAAGATTAGGGTACACTTATTACATTGAAGGTTGGTGTTTATAAGTTACAGATATTTAATATTTTCCAGAGTGGTTTTTTAATTAAAAAAAAATATATTTTAAAAGCATTTCAAACATCTGTTCATTTTCCCAGTGCAAAAGAAGGTTATTCAAGTCAACTTACCTTTATCCTGAAGTATAAGGGGAAGGGGAAAAAAAACCCCAAAACGACTACCTATCACAGCTCCCAACACTACCTTCTCAATCAACTTTTTGCAGTATATCCACAGGCCACTGGATTAGTTTATCAAAATTAGAGCCTTATGATGATTCAGCCCTTGCTTCATATGTAGGACTTTTATGCTGAAATGTTTCAATTTATAAAAGTAGAAAAAAGTTAGCTGTGCAAGAATGTGGTGTAAGTTTGCTTTAAACTGCAACAGTCCAATTGTGTGTGGAGAGAAAAAAAAAGCACCATTTCAAGATGAAATGAATTGGATATTTTGGAATTTATTCACAGACTAGGCAATAAGTTACTCTGATTAACACAGATCAATACCACCTTGACTTGGTGACCACAGAGACTTTTAATTATTTTGTAGGTGCATTTTTCTTTATCTTGGTATTTAATACATTACCTAAGTCAGTAACTGATGTTAAAAGAAAACTAAGGTTATTCCACAGTTTACAGCCTACATCACAGTCTATTTCAAATTCAGCTTGCCTGCTAGGTCAGTTTTACAGGAGATAGACTTTTAACACATGAAGAGCTTTGACAATTTGACAGGTCTCTTCTCTCTCAATTAAAAAAAAAAAACAAGATTTTTTTTGCTAGCCTGCCAATTTTATAGGTAAAAACCAGGAAGAGAATAAACTATTTTAAAACACAAAGATGGACAAAAAGCAATAATATGATTTAATACACGTCACTTTTCCCATTTGTATTCGGTGAAAGTTTTTACATTTCAAGTAAGTGAGCCTTCATTAAAGAAAACAAAAAATATATGTACAAAAGTTTAAAGTACCTTCCAGTTCTCACATGCTAAAGTTTCTTCTGCAAAGTACAAAAATAAACCTACCATGGACTAAAGGGGACAGTGCCAGAGCAATGGCAGAACAACTGCTATGTTAGATTTTTGCTTACCTTACACTGATGGGTATAGTTAAGTGATACATTTTCTCCACTGTCTAGCACTTAAAGTTATGGAGAGGTATCTGTTCATCTAAAATTCTTTAAATCCAGAGAAAATTTTTTAAAAATGTGTTTCACATATGAGGCTTTAACATTTTTATTTAGGAAAAGATTGAGTCTGAAGCTATAATGGTTCAACCTTAAAGCATCCCTTTTTCAATAGTGGAGTCAATTTATGCAAAGTATGTTTCTTATAAAAACAAATTGAACAGTATTTTAATTATAAGGAAATACAAACATATGCTTTAAACTAGCCAATTTGCACTATCATAAAAGAAATAGGATGTTCTTTCCCTTCCCCTCCCTCAACTATTCAAATCAAAGAATACTGCAAACTTTAAGAAACCCACTGGCTATCATCAGAGTAACTACAGAACAAGGGTAGCACAGGGATGAAACTATTTCTCTATATTCCAGAAGGCAGAAGCTTGGGTACTCTAGCTTTACAAGTAAAAGGAGCACAGGCAGGCAGAAGCTCACAGTAAATACACATCAGAACAGGAGCACAGGTGATGTTGTCTGACTGGGTTACTGCTTTGACGGGGGCGGGGGAGAGGGGCCGGAAGACAAATCTGAAATGGAGTAAGAAATAAAAACAAACTTTTGTCACATTTATAGGAATCTCAAACCTTTTGTATTCCCATGCTCATAGGTAGTTTTGATACACACTGTAAAGAGCTTCAGTATTCAGGAAGAAGAATATTGTATGGTTGACAAAGGACAGGAGAATTCTTCATGCTTCTGATATCTCAGATTTGCTGAGTGCAATAGCCAGTTCTAAGTCTTCCTGCTCTTGCTGATTTAGTCGGGCAAGCCTCTGCTCTTCCTCTCTCTCACTTTCCCTCTTGGCCCATTCAATCATATCTTCTTCAGAGGGATACTGTCATTTAAAAGATGGATGAACAAATACGTAAGTTAATGAGTAAAACAAAAAGAAAGGAAGGAAAATAATTGTTACAAAGAACATTCACTACTTGTTTCACCTACAGGACTCTGGGAATAGTCTTATCCGTTACTTGTTAATTTTTTTTCCCTGAAAACACATTTAGTTTTACCAGTTATTAAATGTGGTTTAATTTTAAAAATTATTGTAGTCTACTGATAGAAAGTCTATAAAACTGGGGCGCCTGGGTGGCTCAGTTGTTAAGCGTCTGCCTTTGGCTCAGGTCATGGTCCCAGGGTCCTGGGATTGAGCCCCGCATCGGGCTCCCCGCTCTGCGGGAAGCCTGCTTCTCTCTCTCTCACTTCCCACTGCTTGTGTTCCCTCTCTCGCTGTGTCTCTCTCTGTCAAGTAAATAAATAAAATCTTTAAAAAAAGAAAAAAACAGTCTATAAAACTAAACATTAAATCACTTTTAGAAAGTAGAAATGCTTAAGGTGAATTAGGATATTTACCAACGGGAGGGTTAGCCTTTTAATCTAATGTAACATTTATTACTTCAACTTCAGGGAGCATCCTTACATGATCAATCACTTCAACTTAATCCCACTGGTGATTTCCTACCTTATCCTTGCTCTCGGGTACAGAAAAACTATGTAGCAAAGAATATGCTGATTTTGCTATACATGAAACAAGAAGTACTGGGTATAATAAACAAGATGTGGACCAAATTATTTTTTAATGCATTATAAAGATTTTTGCAGGCAATGAGAACTTTTTGACTTGATCTAAATAAAACCATATACTTAACATCAATAAAACCGTAAACCTTAATGTTACATCAGGGAAATATTTTTGTCTAACTAAAACAGCAATGTTGAGAGACACTAAATAAAAAAATTTTACTTGGTTTGAAGTCCTGTCATATAGAGGAATACCACAACGGGATGAAATGAAAAAATTTATTTTAGTCAGCTCTGGGAGAATGCAGGGTAAATATGGAAGGTTAGTAAATTAGAACCGTCCAAATAATTAAAAACTGTTTAGCTCTTTTTTAAAAAAGTATTTTATTTATTTATTTGACAGAGAGAGACATAGCGAGAGCAGGAACACAAGCAGGGGGAGTGGGAGAGGGAGAAGCAGGCTTCCCGCCAAGCAGGGAGCCCGATGCGGGGCTTGATCCCAGGACCCTGGGATCATGACCTGAGCCAAAGGCAGACGCTTAACCGACTGAGCCACCCAGGTGCCCCAAGACTATTTAGCTCTTGCCAATTGTATTTACTTCATAAAATCGACATTTACATTTTAAAAACGCTACTATATAAAAACCAGAGTTTTGCTTTCTATTCAAAGATCCCTGGCTTTATCCCCTCATATAATAGTTACCGACAGGTCTCCAGAAATCATCAAAACTTTATACACAAACAAACATATACAATTACAAATATACAAGCTCATTATTGCCATTATTCATCCAGTGGGCAGACAAATGACTCTCTAATGGCCGATCATCCATAACAATTTGCAAAACAGTAACTGTCAAGATTTTATTCATATTGTTTACTAAGAATAAGAGAAGGGTTTGCAAAACAACTGGTATAGACATCACAAGAACTAAGACTACTAAAATCATTTGTGCAATGGAACAATGTCAGAAGCACCAAAACAAATTCTGGTTGGGGAGGAATATAGATAATTTTTAGTAAGTTGGTAAATTTAGTTGAAAATGATGCAAATTTGGCAGACTCCAAAGTAATCATTGAAAACTCTTTAAACTGTAAATGGAAAGATTTTTCCCCCAAACAGCCCATTCACAGTACTTACAGCACTGAAGTTAGCAAAATTGCTTGGGTCAGCCTCTTTATTGGTAGTGGTAGTAGTAGTAGAAGTGAATGAATCGCAAAACATATCAGGATCTTTTTCTTTGGGGCTATCATTATCTGGGAAAGGCTGAAATGGATCATTCAGTTTAAAAGGATCAGAAGAATCCAATTTGTTGATGGGTCTTTTCCCTGGATCAAAATCGTTACAATTAACCAGCAAATAGGGCAAACAAACGCACAAGAACATGAACACAGACAGCACTAAAGAACTGGGGTTGGGGGAATGGAGGTAAGTGCCTAAAATATACATTCTTGGTATGGTCTTAAATGACTACATCAACAGTCTGTCCTCAAAATTTTCACACACAATCTCTCAAATACATTCCAGCTCTATGTAGCTAAATGAAAAAATAGCAAAGGGGAAGGGAACGGGCCAGGAATCCTATTTTTGCCCAGAGTGTAAACCTTGTCTTCCCCAAAGCAGTATGTTCCCAAAGAGAGGGAGAGGGTGAAACAGGATGAGGGTGACAAAAATAAAGACAGAAATGGCCTCTGCTGTTGTAACCTCAGCCTGACACAGCTGTCCACCAGTGGCACACTAAGGGCAAATGACCTTTAAAAAATGACCATCTTCTTCTGATTTTTGTCTCTAGATCTATATATAACACCTGGGAACACGATTAAGAATTACCTTGAAAAACCTCACACACTTTTTGCCATCTACAATATTTCTAATTGAAGAATAAAGAGAACGTTTTGAAGTCTGGGGTCTAAATCTTTGTGGTTGTGGATAAACTCATATTTGACCAAACAACAGTGTACCCTTGCTGAACTCATCACCATTCTCAAGTTCTCCAATTTTAAAGTCTTAACTTAGTACTTCTTGAAAGAAAATGATAAAAATACGTGTTAAAATATTTTCAAATATGCACTTTTCCTAAATTGTGTTAAACTGGTAATAGCAATTATAACAGTCTTTCCATAAGCGTAGCAGCTTATAAAAGATGTTCATATCTCATTAGATCCTTCCAACATTCCTGGGAAGGTAGGCAAATTAGAGTTACTGCCACCATCTAACAGCTCAGACAGCTGAGGCCCAAACATATGAAATTACACACTCAAAATCAAAGAGCTAGTCTGAGGACATCCAGAATTAACACCCAGATCTTTAAGCTCCCAGTCCAGTACTCTCTCCAACAAACCACCCTTTTTTCCTTAACACTTCTATAGTGATATATACTCACTTTGCTGAAGACCCTTAGATTTACTTAACATACTAGTATATTATTTTACTTAGGATTTTAAAAATAACTTTGCTATTGGCATCATACACGTATAAAACTTAAAATTGACTCATTTTTTATTTAAAAAAAATTAATTCCAGTATAGTTAACATACAGTGTTATATTGGTTCCAGATATACAATACAGTGATTCGACAATTCTGTACATTACTCAGTGCTCATCATGGTAAGTGTACTCTTAATCCCCTTCACCTATTTCACCCACCCCCCCACTCACCACCCTTCTTCTAGCCACCAGTTTGTTTTCTATAGTTAAAAGTCTACTTTTTGGTTTGGTTTGTCTCTTTTTTTCTTTATCCATTTGTTTTGTTGCTTAAATCCCACATATGAGTGAAATCATACGGTATTCATCTTTCTTTGACTTATTTCACTTAGCATTATACTCTCTAGATCCATCCATGTTATTGTAAATGGCAAGATCTCACTCTTTTTATGGCTGAGTGATATTCCATTCCACACACACACACCATTCATCTATTGATGGACACTTACTTGGGCTGCTTCCATAATTTGGCTACTGTAAATAATGCTGCTATAAACATCGGGTACATGTATCCCTTTGAATCAGTATTTTTGTATTCTTTGGGTAAATACCCAGTAGTGAGACTGCTAGATCCTAGGACAGTTCTATTTTTAACTTTCTGAGGAAACTCCATACTGTTTTCCAGACTGGCCACATTAGTATGAATTCCCACCACCAGAGTATGAAGGTTCCCATTTTCCTATAACCTCACCAACACCTGTTATTTCTTGTGTTTTTAATTTTAGCCATTCTGACAGTTGTGAGGTGATATCTCATTGTAGTTTTGATTTGCATTTCCCTGATGGTAAGTAATGTTGAGCATCTTTTCATGTGTCTGTTGGCCATTTGTATGCTTTTTTGGAGAAATGTCTGTTCATGTCTTCTGCTTTTTTTTGTGTGTGTGTGCTATGGTGAACGCTGTGAATTGTGTAAAACTGATGAATCATAGATCTTCTGCCCATTTTTTAGTTAGATTGTTTGTTGGCTCATTTGTTTTTTAATATATTCTGACAACCTTAGCCTCTGGCAATATATTATATAGGCTACTTACCTTAAGAGATAGAAGTCACTTAATTTGTTTACCTTATTTTTCAACAGATAATTGAGTATTAACAATTGTACACTTTAAGTCAAAAAAGAGAAAAATTATCTGCCCAAGAATTACCACAGGGAGGTGATTATGAAAGGCAAGCATAAAAATCTGTAACTACTGTGGCTAAAAATTTACCAAGGAATGATATATGACTATTAAAATAACCATGTATCAGACGTATCTTCTCACAGAACAGCCTAGCAGTACTACACCTACTCAGGGGATGGCCCTGTTAGCCACTTCTCGTGAACTTACTATCTTTGTTAAAAACAAAACACTAAAAAGCATTAAGAATGTGTTCCTGGACAAAAAAATTACTTTTATAAAATAAAGGAGTCTCTTATTAGGTAAATAAAATATTATTTTCCTTCAAGAAAAACAATACTTTCTTTTAAATTGCTATGTTGCTGAATTCTGGATACCAAAAAGGCCATATATTTTCACATTAAAAGATTTAAGGAAGACTTCACATTGGTCAGGAAAAGAACGGGACTTCAAATTAACCTTTTTTTACAGAAATTAATTTAAAGCACCAAAATGAAGGAAACTGTTGTGCAAATGGTAATCAATGAGTTTCCAGAAAGCAAGCCATTTCACTGATACTGTTCTCTTTTAATTTACTGCCCTCTCTAAAATGATTTAAAAAGAAATGAGCTCTCACCAGAAAAGGGGTTCACGTTACACATGCTGGCCTTTTAGGCACATGTCTGTCATTCTGTACTGAGGTGAGAACAGATGACAGTAGCAGGCTTCTGCCATGGTTTTTGACTTGTTTTGTTGAAAGCCCTTTATTTAAGTCTATAAGGCTCACACCAGTATTTTTCAGAAAGAGAAAAAGCATCTCAGTTGATTTAGGAAAGATACCAACTCTCATACCAGGTGGTGGTGGGCAGGGTCTTGTTGGAGTTCCAATCTTTGGTGGCAGTGCTGGGGGTACATCTTCACTTTTGACCGATGTTTCCTCAAGCACATTTTTTTTAATGACCACATTGTTGACAGAGCTTGATGTGGCTGAACTAAAAGGATCTTCGTTGTTGACCTTTGTTTGAAAAGAAATGTGTATATATGGTTATATAAATTATACCAACCAAAAAATATATGGTCAATAATGATCTTCAGTATATGCAGCTTTATTTATTTCAATTCTGAGAGCACTGACATGTTAACCTTTGCATTTGAAGCCAAAAGGGATAAGTATTTTAAAAAACTGTTCTATATGAGTAGTGATTATAACATCATTACTTACTAAAGCAACAGATCATACCAAAACAAGCCAACTCTGGATTAAAAGTTTTTCAAGCTTCAGGCAGTACAAAACCACCTGAGGTCCACTTTAAAGGGACTATATGTTTTTCCTCAGATGAGTATCTGATCCAAATGATAATCAAAGAAAAAAAGATACTGATTCCACACTTCCCAATGCACTTAAATATAGGAAAAATTTAATACTAATGACAAAGAAAATGGCATCTTGAAAAACATTAAAGACAAGGTGAAAGTCAATTTTTAAAAGCAAAATAATCCCATGGAATAAGTCTTTTTTAAAAATTTTATTTATTTTTTTAAAGATTTTATTTATTTGACAGAGAGACAGAGAGAGAGGACACAAGCAGGGAGAACAGCAGACAGAGGGAGAGAGAGAAGCAGGCTCCCCACTGAGCAGGGAGCCTAACACGGGACTCAATAACAAGACCCTGGGATCATGACCCCAGCCGAAGGCAGACGCCTAACCAACTGAGCCACCCAGGCGCCCCTAGAATAACAAGTCTTAATGTGGGTCTGAAGACTCTGCCTTTCTAATAATGAAAAATTCACTTTTCTATAATGAATCAGACATTGTGATTTTATTTATTTATTTTTAAAGATTTTATTTATTTTTTAAGATTTTATTTATTTGACAGAGAGAGAGAGAAAGAGCACAAGTAGGCAGAGTGGCAGGCAGAGGGAGAGGGAGAAGCAGGCTCTCTGCTGAGCAAGAAGCTGGACATGGGGCTTGATCCCAGGACGCCAGGATCATAACCTGAGCTGAAGGCAGCTGCTTAACCTACTGAGCCATCCAGGCGCCCCAGACATTGTGACTTTAGATCTCTTTAGGCCAGTGTTTCTCTACAGTACTACTTACATTATGGGCTGGATGTAATCCTGTGTTGTGGGGAGCTGGATACTGTGTTGTAGGATGTTTAATAGCACCCCTGGTTTCTATATACTAGATATGAATAGTCCCCCTTCCCAGTTGTGACAACCAAAAGTCTTTATTTATTTATTTATTTATTTAAAGATTTTATTTATTGATTCATGAGAGACAGAGAGAGAGAGAGAGAGAAGCAGAGGGAGGAGCAGGCTTCCAAGGAGCAGAGAGCCCAATGCGGAACTCGATCTCAGGACCCTGGGATCATGACCCGAGCCGAAGGCAGACGCTTAAACATCTGAGCCACCCAGGCGCCCCAAAAATGTCTTTAGACAATGCCAAATAATTGAGGGTGAGGGTGGAGGGAAAATAACATCCAGCTGAGAACCGATGATATAGACAATTTCACATATACTCTAATTTTACTCTTTTGGCCTGAATCAATCCTACAGCTACACTGGAAAATAGATAGTGGACATATAGTGGAATACACATGACTATGTGTATTCATTATCTTAATACTAACCCTAACTGGGGTGCCTGGGTGGCTCAGTGGGTTAAGCATCTGCCTTTGGCTCAGGTCATGATCCCAGAGTCCTGGGATCGAGCCCTGCATCAGGCTCCCTGCTCTGCGGAAAGCCTGCTTCTCCCTCTCCCACTCCCCCTGCTTGTGTTCCCTCTCTCTCTGTGTCTCTGTCAAATAAATAAATAAAATCTTAAAAAAAAAAAAATACTAACCCTAAGAGCCTCAGAACATAAAATGAAGTAATCAATGCAGAGAAGATGGCATGAATGCCCAAATTTTACATCTATTGACCCAAACAGTCAACAGGGGATAAATTAGTTCAACTGGAAGAAATATATTTAAAGAGGCAGAAGACTCTTAACATGAAGTTGTTGAGCTAACCTGTCAGTAGAAAATTATAATTACCTGTACCATCACCATAGTCCTTATGTATAGAAATATGTCTACTTGAATTACATCTATCATTTCTATCTGAAATCAACATTGAAATCAAGTTGAGATGTCTGTGACAGGGTTACATAATTGGAAGGAAGGATTGCTCCATTGGTGGAAACACAGTATATTTCACCTTCCCACTAATCACTGCAGATTACCTTTGACAATGTGCTGAAGTCAGCAAATCCATCTTCAAATGATTCACTTCCAAAAACAGAAGCAAAGGGATCTGTGGCTAAAATTAATAAAGAAAATCAATCCAATAGGCATCAAAATTTCATGTCCTTTTTTGGTTGGTAACATTTAGACAGATGAAAAAGATCTAATCCTAAATATCAGTTCCTGAATTTATGACTTAAATCCAGTGAACAAATTGATACCTACCCACCCCCCCAACACACACACAATACACTCTTTTGTATAAATCAACTGATGAATTATTTCAGATGAAAAACAAGAAAACTAACTCTAGGTTTAAGGCTTTGGAATACATGTCAAATAATATAGTTCCCATGCACTGAAACTATTTTTAATAAAGCTATCAGGAAGTAAGAGAAGGTAGATTCCATTAATTCCACATTTCACACTTATCCTTCAGGGTGCGTTTTAAATGTCACCTCATCCACTAAGCCTGGGAAAACCTCTAATTCCCACAGCAGGCAGTGATCTCTTTCTTCTTTGTGGCACTGACTGCATTCTAGTTTGTACTATGGTTATCTGTGATTGATATATCACCATTATTAGACTGAAAAGTCCTTAAAAACAGTGAATAAGGCTTATCCAAGAAGAACGGTCAAAAACATTTCTTGAATATCAGATCTAAGAAAGTAAGAAAATACAGTTCCTACCCCCCAAATCTCACAGTCTAATGAGATACATGTAAAAAACAATAATAAAACAATCTTAAATGAGCTATTAGAGGTATGAAAATGCCATAGTAGGAGTCATTAACTGGGAGGATCAGAAAAAGTATCAGAGAAACTATTACATTTGAGCTAGGTCTTTTACATAAGGAATAGATCGAGGTGGGAAAGATAAAGACATTCCAGGCAGAGGGAACAGTATCTGCAAAAGTAATTATTTAACCTGCTCCCAGGCATGAGAAGTATCTGTTCCATCACACTGCACTTACCAAATGGATTAACATTTCTGGCTGGAATGAACGGATCTACTTTGAGATAGGTTTCACCTATTCAGGCATAAAGGCTACCAATAAAGCCAAAGAATGTTTATAGGAATTGTTACTTGATATAGGAAAATAGAAAGAAACAAAGGAAGGAAGGGAAAGAGAATTGCAAGAGACAGGTTAAGAAAGAGCAAAGAGCCACTGAAAATTTTTCCTTGTTCTCCCTCAAATCGTCATCTTTACATCAAATCAGTCTTAAAACAAAAGTGTGCCCACATGCCCATTTAAATGTGTAAATTGTGCCTTCACCTCTAAAAATCAGTACACCATGGACATAAACTGAAGAGGAGCAAGAAGGTATATGTTACTTTTGCTTGCTTTGTCATCAAGACAGTCATGAGGCAGAGGAAGCAGGTAAAGAGAGTGGGGAGAAGCATAAAGAAAATTAGCCCTTTAGAGATAGACCAACAACTCTGAGCCTGAAGAGGATGTTTAAAGTCCAGAGTTACAAGAAATTCTACAGCGTTACCATAAAAGATGCTTTTTTATAACTACATATCTAAGTCCCACAGCCTGGGCCCAGCCTGGTCATGGGTGTTGTTTTAGGCTTTCCTTTCTTTCTCCTTCCTCTGTGCCTTGTAATTCCTGATGCCACAAGCAGCTGAGGCACAACCAGGGTGCAGATGCCCTCCTGACTGGTAGAAAGGTGATGAGGGAAAAGAAGTTGCCTCCTTTCACTGGAGGGAAATAAAAGATCTGCTTCATGCTTTTTCTCTGCCACAGCCTTTACAAGAAGTTATAACGCTCATGGCAACGGTGTTGAGTTAGGTCAAGTTTGACTGAAATGTTGTTAAGTATACACTGTGAAAGACATTAATAAAATACATGACATTTGTATATAAAGATATGCTACTTATAGTTTTACTACAGTTTTTCTACACTTTCTTCATCAGAAAAAAACGACCTATTCGGCATTGGTCCAAACACTGGGGAATGTGTCGTGGAAGAATGACAAAGGACTTTTGCCTAAATTGGGGAATTAAGACTTTGGCAACCACCTCCTCAGATATTGATCATGACTGATATGAAGTAGAGGCCTGTCCAGAGACTGGAAGGACTCACTGGGTATGAACTTTTCCAGACCATGTGCTGAGGATTCCCAGAAATATTCGGAGACGAATCAGTAGGTGGCTTTCTTCCTCTTGATCACACAGGAGCTATAGACCATCAGAATGAGGCTTTAAATGCAAATGTGATCTCACTGGCACCCTCTCCTCCCCAAGAATAAAGGCGATGAACACTTCGGAAAATTACATAAAAGCGTAATTTAAAAAATCATCTATAATTTCATTATCAGAAATAACTCATCAATTATTTTAACATGCTTCTAACAGCTTTTTTTCCTGGTATTTTTTTCCTTTAAAGCTACATTTTAGGCGTATCATTTTTAATCCCCTTATCCCAATTTAATTCATAGCATTCATCAGTACTTGACATATTACATATTTGTTTATTGCCTATCTTTCCCATATAAACCCTATGAAGACGAGAACTTCGCTTTGTTCACTACTGTATCTTCAAGGCCTAGAAAAAGGTCTGATAAATAGAAGATGCTCATATTCACTGAAAATACTGAGAGAAAAGGGGGACAGAAACTGTCTACTTATTAAGGATCTTCCAAACAGATACCATAATACTTCTTAGCATAACCAGCTGACCAACAAGGAATAAGGGAAACCAGTTTTAAGGCTCACAGATAATAACCAAGAACAGGTATCTAACCAGAGAATCCTGGGAAAAGGAAAAAAATTTTTTTCCATGACCCATGCACAAGTCATCAGATAATCAAGTTCAAACTCAGAAAACCTTTACGAGATACTCATGAATAATATGAGGTGTTGGTCATTAATACAGAATCCATTTTCTCAAGCTGGTCTCCAAATCATTCACTCACTCACTCACTGACCCACGCATCCACTCACATTTACTAAGCATCAAGGCTAGGTACTAGGGATTTAGAGGAGAATAAAACACAACACCCACCTTCAAGGAACTCATGGTTTGAGTGATACATATGTATACAACTGCTACACAGTAAGTATTAAAGTTCAAAGAGAGTAAAGGAAAAGCAACAGCTAGATTTATGTGAAAGAGGACAAGAAGACTTTCCAAAAAGGGTTTTACTTTCTTGTGGACAGAAAAGGGGTGGGAGAAGAGAGAAACATACACACTATACACAAATACACACTGCTCATGCACACACATTTTTCCAGGCAAAAAATAAGTGGCCTTGAAGGGACAGTCATGGCCTGTATTTGTGGAAATAGAGAAAATTAGAGAAGAAACATGAAAGAAGGCAGAGGCTAAGAATAATAAAACATATGAACATCTGTATGCTTAGCCTGAGTCATTGCCTGTAAAAATAAAGACCTACGTGGCATTTTACTACCTCTAGAGTCAAAGATGCTCTGGGGAGACCACAAGTTCCCCTCTAAATCCTCAGGATGTTATAAAGCTTTAATTAAGAGTTGGAAAGACTTTGCATTTCCTCAGTTAGGAGTTAGTAAAATATTCCATGCAAAAAATCTTCTGGCACCAGAACTAATCCCATCTATAATGAAGTGGAAAAAGAACTTTTACAAAACAAAATAAAGTATATGTAGAAACTGAGTAACCTGCATTTGCTTTCTTTAGTATTCTTTTAGTCTGCAACATGTCTACTCACAAGGAGTAAATGCTAAAAAGACCCCACTGTGAGTCAAAATATTAAAAATACCTGATGTCCTTCTATCTTTATCATAATCACTAAATTCTAGAAGTAGGGGTGATTTATCATTTAATTTTTAAGAACAAAAATTTACCCTTAGGTTTTTAGTTTATTTTGAAAGCTTCTATTTTTCCTGTTCTGTGGGATTAATCTTTTTTTCTGGCTAAACACTTTATTTGTTGGTGAAAAAGAAGAGGGATATAGGAGTGTAAGTAAAGAGGACAAAAGTTCTGTTTGTGACCTTAGGTGTGTAATGCCACCTCTCTGAGTCTCACTGGTTTCCAGATGTTGGGATTTTATTTTATTTTTTTGAAGATTTTATTTATTTATTTGAGAGAGAGCACGAGAGGGAAGAGGGTCAGAGGGAGAAGCAGGCTTCCCACTGAGCAGGGAGCCCGATGTGGGACTCGATTCCGGGACTCCGAGATCACGACCTGAGCTGAAGGCAGCCGCCCAACCAACTGAGCCACCCAGGCGCCCGGGATTTTATTTTTAGTAAACTAAATAAATATATTAAAACCAACACACATAGAGAAAACAACAACATAAAGAGATTTGCTTAACTTAAAAAGAACTTAAAAAAAAAAGTCCATCTTTCATTTCACAAACAAAAGGATTTAAAAACTAAAAAGAAAAGAATCTTAGACTGGAAAGAATCCTTTCCAGGAAAAGAGAGTTGGCAACAATTCTCATTCTCATTTTCTCTCTCTCATCCCTATTTGACTTGGAACTATCAAAGAGTATATTCCAAGTAACATTAGTCAGGATTTAGAAACCATTAAACTAAAAAATAGTAGTAATAATAGTAATAGCAGCTACCATTTACTGTGATAGGTACCACAATAAATACTTTAACATACATTATCTCATTTAATCTACCAAACAAACCCATGAAGTATAATTATTAACTTCATTTTATCGTTTAGGAAATGGAGACTAAGAAAACCTAAGGAATTAGCATTTTATCTAATAAAATGCTAATGAGTAACTTCAGGCTGTTGGCTTCAAACACCCATGTCCTAATGATGGCAACCCCCCCTTTAGACTGTTTATGCTTCCATTCAATTCAAAATCTTACGATAATGTAGTAGATTTGAGACAAATCATTTATTCATTTCTTCAGCATTCAACTGATGGACTCTGCTATGTCCCAGAAGCTCTGGGGTGGGAAAGTAGGGATACAATTTAGGATGACTCTCAAATCTCTGCTTGGGCAACTGAGTAGATGGTAATACTATTAACAGGGATGGAATGTCAAGAAGATGTTTAGTAATGTTTTTTATTTCATCAGGTGGACAACTTTACTTTCAGACATATACCTGTGACACATTAAAAGGCCATT